AGAATGCATTCATTGGCTGTGTATTTTCTCCCATCGTATTGTTTTCCTATCGTATTAGCTTCCCTTGAATTTTAATTGGCCCTTGACACATGGCAACCCTGTGCTCAGAGAGATGAAATGAGCCATCCGTGTTGCCCTTTGCAGCCAAGACTGTGGTGATCCACAGGGTTTTTACTGGCTAATTTTCACAAGGAGATCTCCTAGTATGACTTAGTCTGCACGCTCCACTGAAAGTGGACGTTCAGCATCAGAACAACACGCACTCTCCAGGGTCAGACAGTACTGACTGCGCATGAGGTCCATTGATTGGAATCAAACCTTCAGTCAGAACCGATTTGACGATACTTAACAGCATCAATCTTATAATTTCTTCATTTAGCCCTTTTAGTTTTCCAAGAGTAAGCTTATATCCAGGTTTCTCTTGTACAGAATACAACTTGTATTCATCCTTTCTAGTTTAGCTGGAGCATGTTTTCCTGAATGCATGCTTCACCTCCCAGTTAGACATAGACTCCCCTACTCTCCTCTCAGACCATCCTTTACTTATTACTTCTTTAGCACTTGCTACATTGTAATCATTTATTTCTTCATCTTTCTTTTTTGCCAGACTGTAAATGCTACCTAGAACATCAACTACATTTTATTAAACTGCAAATTCAGCATCTGATAGAAACTAGGGACTCAGTAAAGGGATGGATGGATGGATGGATGGAAGGATGGATGGATGGAAGGATGGATGGATGGATGGATGGAGTGGTATCTATACTGAATCCGTACATGATAAATAGCATGTGTTTCAGTTGGAGAAGTCACTGCCATCCACTGTTCAGATTGAACCGAGTTTTCCTCTTACACTGACTGGTGTGGCGCTGCGGGTTAATGTGCTGGACTGCAATGTAGGCTTGAACCGCAAGGTTGGCTGTTCAAGCTCACCAGTCACTCCTTGGAAACCCTATACAGGGTCACTATCAGTCATCAGAACCGACTCCATAGTACTTAACAACAACAACAACAACAAGGCACTGACTGAGGAGAAGGGTGGTTGTAAGTACCAGACTGCAGCTTAGCATATTCCCCAATACTTCTGTCCTAACTCTGCATTTGGTTAGCATTTGAAATCCATTTTCATGAAAATGGCAGTTTCTTCAGCACTTCTAACTTGGAGCTGTCCTTTGTCTCTTACAATCTTGTTTCATTTCTCTCTTGCTGAGTCACAAACCACCCAAAGCTTAATGATTTAACACAATAACTTGTTATTTTTCACAATTCTGAAATCTGGCCAAGACTGAGCTGAGTGACTTTGCTTCACTTGGCCTCTGCAGAAGCTGGAATGACCATGAGGGCTTCTCACTCACATTGAGGCTCCTCAGCAGGGAGGAGTGGCCTGCCATCTTTGTCTCTCTATATATGTAGGGCTTCTCCTTATGGATAGCTTGGAATTCCTCACAACCTGGCGGTCTCAGAGGACTAGCAATTCTTACTTAGTGATTGCTTTCCAAGAGGGAGGACTTTGAACCTGCCAGTACTCTTTAAAAAGACCAGATTTGAGGTGGCAGAGGATGGCTTCCACCTTACCTTGTTGGTCAAAGCCAGCCTAGACTTAGGGAGGAGTAGGCTGTGTCTTTTGGTATAAGGAGCAGCGTGCATATACTAGAAGGGATCACAACCATTTTTGGAGATTATCTAAAAGAATTGATACTATGTAGTTTAAGAAATACCCATTTATGTAAATAATATGTAAGCTAGATATGCATTAAAGAAGCTCATTTGGTCTAAATGGCTGGTTTTAAAGAAATGTATTGCTTATTTGAAAGGAAATCTTTACGCGAGGACTCTGTCTGGTCAGAGAGGACTTTGCTTTGCCAAACCGAGGTTAGGAATTCAGTGTTGTTGTTATGTGCCATCAAGTCAATTCCAATTCAGTGGACCTTATGGTTCAAACCAACCTTGTGGTCCAGTACATTATCCTGCAGCGCCACACCAGGACTCCATGAATTCGTTGTTGTTGTTGTTGTTAAGTGCCATCAAGTAGAATTCTGACCCATTGGGTTTCCAAGGAGCACTGGTGAGCTTGAACCGCTGACCTTGTAGTTCAAATGACTTTGCAGTCTGACGCATTTACCCACAGCGCCACACCAGGACTGCATTCATTAGGACTGATCAATGTTAAGCCTAAATTAAGATGAGAAGCAATATGTATGCTCTCTGGTCTGTTAACATGCAAGTCTCTCTTCAAAGATGAAAACTGTTTTCTCTATAAAGTGAGAACATAATGTCACTTTGATTCATGAGAATTAAAAAGATCCATTTCCTATGAGTTTTCACACCTTAGAAGGCTGTTTGGAAAAGTGTCACATGATTAAGGCTCTTTGAGTTGCTAACCCCACTGCGAAGATTTTGTGATCCATGTTCTTTCTTTATAGTGCTGCTCTGGGAAATGGACTGGAAAGGACCCTTGAATCCCTACTTCTTGACTTGAGGCTTTTAAAGAGCGTTTTACTGGTACAGTAATTAGTTTCAAAAACTTTTAAAGTTGCAAATAAACCATGATAAGGACACACAGTGCCTGACAGGATAGAATGCATACCTTAAACACTTGCTCGTTAATGGGGGCGCTGCTTTATAACTTTTAAATAGACTGGGCCTTTGTTCAGGGCATGTGGCTGCTTATCTCTGGGCATTTCAGGAGAACAGGGGTGTAACAAAAGGTGTCACCTTTTGTTAGTGATAGAGTCCTTGCACAATACAAATGGTTAATGTGCTCCCCTGCTAACCATAAGGATGGAGGTTCACGTCTGTCTCAAGGAGCCTCAAAGGAAAGGTCTGACAGTCTAATTCCCAAAACTCAGCCGCTGAAAACCTCGTGGAGTGTTTCTACTCCGACACACCTGGGGTCTTCATGAGTTGGGATCCACTTGACAGGAGCTGGTCTTTTGGCCTGTTTACAATATTAACAAAGAAACCAAGACCCAAGTATCTTGAGAGGTAGTTCCCCTGGAGGCTGAATGGACGAATAATTCACTGGCAAAGGATTTTGCTGCAGAATAAAGTTGTTTGCTTTGTTTTTGACCTTCCTTTAGCATTTGTTGTTGTTGTTGAGTTGGTTCCAACTCACAGTGACCCTATGCACAACAGAATGAAGCACTGCCCGGTTCTGAGACAGCCTCACAATTGTTGTTAACATTTGAATCCATTGGATCCGTCCATCTGATTGTACTTCTTCGGACACAGATTTATTGGTTCTTCGGGAAGTCCATGATGCTTTTGATATTTTTCTCTATCCTTTAGAATAAGGGAATCTTATTCTAAAAATGGAGTCCTGGTGTGGCGCTGTGGGTTAATGCGCTAGACTGCAAAGTCAGTTTGAACTGCAAGGTTTGTGGTTCAAGCTCACCAGTCACTCCATGGAAACTCTCTAGAGGGTCACTATGGGTTGGAACCAAGTCGATGGCACTTTACAACAGAAACAACATTCTAAAAATAGAGTTTAAGATTACTTTCAAACATACATACAGTAAGATAAAAGTAAACATACATGAGGCAGACACGACAGAGAGAAAAAAATGGACAGGAAATGAAATAGTCTTACACAACATACTAGCCATGACGTTCTTCCTGTGTGAGAGGGGCAGGGATCACAGAACTGACTCAAAGCTTCCTCCAATGCAGGCTGGAAGGGAAACCACCTTAACAGATGGTGTGAGATCCCAACTTAGTTAAGTAGCCACGAAGAGCCAACAGGATGGGCTCTGTTAGCAAAATGTTTTTGTGTGTGCTGTTTTAATGACTGTCATCTGGTCTTGTACCCAAGGATTGCAGTCCATGGGAGAGGGAAAAAACCTGGTAGCGTAGTGGTTACGAATCGAGCTGTGAACCTTAAGGTCAAGTGGTTCGAAACTACCAGCCGCTCTGCGGGAGAAAGATGAGGCTTTCTACTCCCGTAAAGATTTACACCCTCGGAAACCCTGTACAGGGTCGCTATGGGTCGGAACCTACTCGACGGCACTTAACAACAACAACAACAACCTTTCTGAAGTCTGAGGCCCAGTTTCCTCATAGAGATGCTGTTGGTGGTGGTGGTGGTGGTTGTTTTGTGCCATGGAGTCGGTTCCGACTCATAGCGACCCTATGCAGGGTTTCCGAGGCTGCAAATCTTTACGGGAGCAGAAAGCCTCATCTTTCTTCCGCGGAACAGCTAGTAGTTTCGAACTGCTGACCCTGAGGTTCATAGCCCAATTCATAACCACTACGCTACCAGAGCGCCTTGTTGTTGTTGGTAGTTGCTTTCAAGTTGCTTCTGACTCATGTCAACTGCATGTGTGCAGAGTAGAACTGCTTCACAGGGGGGTTTCAGGGTGTTCCCTTTCAGAAGCAGATCACCAGGGCTGTCTTCTGAGGCACCTCTGGGGTGTGTTCAAACCACCAACCATTCCACTAGTAGTCGAGTGCTTAACCATTTGGACCACACAAGGGATGTATGTGCTTTCTGCCTAAAGTCAGGAGTCATTTCATTATTAAAAATAAACATTTTAGCCACATGCAGCAAAACCTATTGAATGTTCATAGCAGAGGAGACAACGTTCACAAATTTATAATTCACTGATTCGTTCAAGAAACAGTTTACTGAGGATCTGCTGCACTAGGGATGTGGCCATGAAGAAAATTGGGTGTAAAAAGCAATAAAGACAAGTAAACGGTGATATAGTGGGACCGGATCAAGCTAGGGGAAGAGAGGACAGTTTGGGACTATGAAAGGGGTCTCTCTCCCTGCCCTAAGGGAGCAGGGAAAATTCCCTCAATGGATCATTGTGCGTTTGATGCTGAGGGGAGTGGAGCTCATAACCCTACAAGGCTGTTGAACTTTAGGATGCCAAAAGGAGTCTGCCGGGTGAGACTGAAGCCGCCCCAGTTGGTATTGATGCTGGTCCTGCCGCCCCCCGAAGGCTGCCTCCTTTTGATCTTCACTTAACCTGGTGCCTCCCTTGTCCTTGTGTTCACAGACTGCCATTCTGAGACGACAGGGTCGATACATCTGCTCCACAGTTCCTGCCAATGCAGAACAGGAAGCGCAGAGCTTATTTGTTACCGAGGTAATTTTTCCCCCTACGCTAACCTATAAGTCACAGTCAGGCCATTTTTTCTGTATCCCCTGTTGTGTACATTTTGAAGATCTTCAGGAAAGTTTCAAAGGTAATGACATCTTTAGGATGGAAATGTAAATATGAGAACGACATGAGTTTTTTTGGAGTTTGAAACTTGCACAGAAATGTCAGCAGGGATCATTTCTGACTCCCAAACATGAATTCTACCAAATGTATCTCCTTGGTGTAAAATAAAGGGTACCTTGTAAATGAATACAATGTTAATCTCTGTGCTGAGTTTTGTCATTGCTCTTGAGACTGTTCTTAATGGGGACCCAACATATGCATTTGTAGATTCATTCATATTTATTCATAATAATTTACTCATTCTATAGTTATTTATCTTAAGACTACTATTTACGATATTTAAGATAATCCACAGAATCTGACTGTCCCTGTTCAGTGTGTATTTGATTATTCTTACTCTAACTCGAACATACAAATAATACCTATCTTGTTAAGGAAGAAATAGAAATGACTGCATTGAAATTGCTTGTTCTTTTTTACATAATGGATCTGTTTTTTGCTTCCAGGTATTTTTAGGTTGCACGCTCTAATTAGGAGCTTTCATTTCATTTATTGAAGTGCTGCTTCCTTGAACTATAATGGATTTTTAGCCCCATTTTTCTAGTTGAGATTTAGGTGATAAATATGCCTGTCAGTAAATGTACTCACTAGAATAAAGCTATGCCTTTATAACTGAAGACCAATTAAAACAACATTTCATTTCCATTGAGACATTTAAAATGTTCAATACACCCATAACGCTTTGCAAGTGTGTTCTTTCATCCTTCTCAAAAGGTAATTTTCTATCTTTTACTATGTCACTCACAGGGAGCTCTGGTAGCGTAGTGGTTACGAGTTGGGCTGCTAACCTCAAGGTCAGCAGTTCGAAACTACCTGTTCCGCAGGAGAAAGATGAGGCTTTCTGCTCCCGTAAAGATTTACAGCCTCAGAAACCCTGTACAGGGTCCCCATGAGTCGGAACCGACTTCACGGCACATAACCAACACTACCACCACTATGCCGCTGTTGTTTGTTACAAGAAGAAGCTGGCAGATTTGAATGTCACCAGTGTGGTGCTTTGGGTTAATGTGCTGGAAGGCAAGGTCTGTTTGAACTGCAAGGTTGGTGGTTCAAGCTCACCAGCCGTTCCTTGGATGACCCTATACAGGGTTGCTGTTGGCCTTAACTGACTTGACAGCACTTACCAACATTGTGTTAGTAAAGGAGTCCTGGTGTGGCACTGCCGGACAATGCACTAGACCAGAAGGTCAGTCTGAACCAAAAGGTAGGTGGCTCCTCAGAAACCCTAGACAGGGTCGCTATGAGTCAGAACCAACTTGGTGGCACTTAACAACAACAAATGTTAGTAAAACTAATTCCAGAAAAATATGGCCAGAATGGTTTGTGTAGTCATAAATGTTTATTTTTAAACAGAAGGTGGACACATTTTGTCCCCTGGGCAAAGTCTGGCCTGCAGTTTTGTTATTTGTGTTTTACATTTTAGAAAATAAAGCTTTATTATGACACCTCAAGGCCATTCATTTACTTATTGTCTAAGTTGTTTTGTTTTGTTTTTCACCTGGAGGTCATACGGCCTCCAAAGCTGTATATTTTTACTATCTGGCCTTTTATAGGAAAAAGAAAAAAAAAAATTGTTGACCCATTTAAAAATATGCGGCAAAATTATTAATTCCTAACTTGGGTTTCTTGCTGGATTGGAAAATAGGAGTTTTGAAGGCTGATCTATGTTAAGTTCTGTAATCACTGTAGGTTGGGCAATAACTGAATTCCTCCAGTGCATCTGGAGCCAACCTAACAACTGAAGTCTCTCGGGACTCCTTCCACTTGGGTGGAGTAGAGCAGCACTTCCTTTCCATCCTCTGGTCCCGAGAAGAATGACCTAATGGCTTTAAAAAAAGAAAACAATCAAAAACCTTTCACTGTAACTGCATAATATTATTGAGCTTCATGGTTTGAAAGGTTAATTCTGAAATCAATCCATCAGGCCCCTGTCTCTTTGAATACTGATTTTGATTGAGTTTAGAGTCTGCTAGAACGTTCTATCACTCCCCAGAGTAAGGAATTCGTTCCCCTTGACTCCTTTGTGGAGGCCTAGCCCTGATCAACAATGGCTTGTGGGATGAAGAAATCTCTGGGCACTCTACCTGGCTACTTCTGTTATTTGTGGTTCCTTATTTTTTGCCAATTCAATGACTTTTTAACATTTTTAGCTTTTTATTATGAGTTTCTTAATGACTTTTCATTTTTGAAACATTATAGCTATTTTTCTTACCTCTTTTGTCTGTAATACTAAAAACCTGGGCATTCACTTGTTCCAGTCATAACTGCATTTATGATACACAAAATTATATTTGTTTTAATGGGACAGGTACATCTTATCATGCAGAGAGGGTTTCATGTCCTACAGGAGAGTTTGTAACTTGTCACACCATAGAAAGAAGCCATTGTGCTTGATGAAAAGCCACCTTGGACTCGGAATTGGCCTAGGATTAAGGAGAATAGGAATAGATCCACAAGACATATACACAGTCAGACCTCCCCCTAGCTGTGCCTCTGGACCTAGAGGCAGTTGTAGGCAATCTAAAAACATGGAGAATTCTGAAAGCATACTGCTTCTGAAATGTAAGTGTGGGTATCTGATGCTCTGTATGTAAAAAGCTTTGAAACATCAGAACAGCATTTACAAACAGAAAATATTATTCTCAGTATTTGTAACAGCATAGGAAAGACATGGAAAAGTCTGACCTTGTTCTTATTTTAATTAACCTTTCTCTGCTATTTAGTCGACTTCTGTGAATGTAATCATAAACGATAATAATAATTTGAAAAACATAGACTACCTTTAGTTTGCAGATAAGCCTGGAGCCTGGCACAAAGCAAGCCCATGCTGGGCTGCTGTGTTTAGTTTCATGAGCTTGAGGGTGAAAGCTTGCTTCAGAAGGCCTTTAGGTCCAGACTGTGAACTAGACACAATGGTTGGCAATATAGACAGTGAAGTGAAGAAAGCAGAGAATTTACTTATGATGTTAACTACAGCCCAAATCAGATAAACTAGATAAAGCATAAGTGGACTCCTGATGTGTGCTGTAGGACCAGTACTGGACTGTGAACCACAAGGTGAGCTGCTCCTCAGAAACCCTATACAGGGTCACTATGGGACAAAACCAGCTCCACGACACTTAGCAACACTAAGGCACGAGTGCATGTATCTAACTATGTATTAACTTACTCTGTGTGTGTGTGTGTGTGTCACACTGAAGTCTGAATTTGGGTAGATCATTAAGAACGGACTGTATAGGAAATCATTTAAACTAAGCTGATATGAACCTAAGTCAAACTCATCTATTGATTTTGACGCATTTGCATCTGAAGGTCTGGTGAATGCAGCCTTCCATACCATCTTAAGACTACACTACTTGAAGAACCCTCATGTGGAGACAAGTGAAAGGCACTCTACTAGCTCATTGAAGCCGTCGGGTATTGTTGTGAAGTACCGTCAAGTTAGTTCTGACTCATGAGGACTCGATATAGTGTTTCTCAACAGTGACTGGTGGGTTGAAATCACCAACCTTGCAGTTAGTAGTCCAGTGCTTATCCTACAGAACACACCAGGACTCCTCGTGGATTGAGGTAGTTTAAATGTAGTCTGTGTCATTAATAGAATTCTTGGCAAACCTTGACCTGCTGTTTACTAGTGTATCTTAAGAATAGATAAGGTAAGGGAAAAATTGACAGAAAATTGAATGAAAACTGAATTTTGTGATATTGACCAACAGAGCCGGTTGTAGTAATAACCTACTGCCTACTCAAAATGACCCTAGAAAACTGAGTGCACTGCTCCATAGGGCTGCCAAGGCTGCAAATCTTTACTGCAGCAGACTGCTTCCTCATTCTCCTAAGCAGCAGGCAGCTGGTGGGTTTGAACCACTGACCTTTCAGTTATCAGACCAATGCTTAACCCACTATGCAACCAAGTCACTTCTGTAATATTAATAAATCTCATGAAGTGTCTGTAGCTCCAGACTTTCCACTGATTTTGATGTTCTTGTGAGGCCTTATAATTTCGTAAAGACAAAATCCTTCTAAGTCAGGTATAGTATAAGTGCAAGCAAGGTAAGGCAAAGTCTGTCTTCCTGTAAAATCTGCCCTCAGAGAAAGCATTCCCTCTCCCAAGGGTAATGTTATTTCAGTGCATCAAAGCATCACAGGGTCTCTGATGTTGAAATGTCGTGCATGGATAAGGAAGAGCTTTTTTTTTTTATGTTTGTATGGGTGTGCCTCCACAAACTTCAGCTATTATCCAGAAATCCTCACATAGGCAGTTAAATATTCTCCGTACTGCATTTCCCTCTCTTTTTCCATCTACTTGTTAAGTGTTGTCAAGTCGATTCCAACTTATAACAACCATACGTACTATGGAGTCCTTGGACAAGTACAGGACTACAATGTTGATTTGAACTGCAAGGTCAGCGGTACAAATCCACCAATATCTGTGAGTTGGAACCGACTCTACGGCATTAAAACAACAGCAGTATACAACAGAGCGAAACTGCTGGGGGGTCCTGCATCATTCACAATGCCTGTCGCCATATTGGAATCCATTGTTGCAGGCACTGTATCAGTCATTGTATTTGTTTCTCACTAATACTTTGTTGTGTTGTTTGTTTTTATCTCCTACCACCCCAATAGTGCATCAAAACCTATAACTCTGATTGGCATCTTGTGAATTATAAATATGAAGATTACTCAGGAGAGTTTCGGCAGCTTCCAAAGTGAGTAAATGTTAGACTATACAGCATGGACGTACACACATGGAGAAAGTATTTCTAGAGTTGTGTATATATGGTATAGTTACTGTTTATAGGGCCATTGATGATAGCATTCAAGCCTTGTACTCTGCCACCGGCCATTGAGTCAGTTCCAACCTGTAGTGAACCTGTATAGGGTTTTTGAAGAGCAGCTGGCGAGCTTGAACCTCTGACCTTGCGGTTCAAATTACTTCGCAGTCCAGCGCATTAACCCACTACACCACACCAGGACTCCTCTAGCATTGGTAGGTGGAGACAAATACATGGATGGCTTCATTATGCCCACTGATAAAATGGGATCCTGGTGTGGCGCAAAGTCACTTTGAACCACAAGGTCAGTAGTTCAAGCTCACCAGTTGCTCTGCAGAAATCCTATGCAGTGTCGATATGGGTCAGAACCGACACGATGGCACTAAACAACAACAACAACAACTGGTAAAATATAAATAGGTGGAATTTCCTCAGGGAGAAATAGCAAACAAAAGAAGTAAATCAAGGAGCAAGCATTTCCCTTGATGAATTTGTTTGCCCCTTTTAAAGTATTAATTAATTTAGATTGGTTAGTGGTAATTAAAGTGAAGCAAGGTAAGTCTTGCTTGGAGAAGATACCTGTTTAAAAAAAAAAACTGCATCTTTCAATGATGAAGTTGGCAAATTTAAGTATAGCTGATTATGAAAGTTGAAAGCATATAACGGTGGGTTGTGTTTAAAAAAAATAATAAAAGTAGGTATCACTGTTAAAGAAAATTTTATTTGAAAACCATCTAGTGTATTTGCATCTATGACTTGGGCGAAGCTTTTATGTTATTCTCAGTAGATCCAGCTGTTTATTTTTCCTATTTGTGTGGTTCAGCCACTCCTTAAAGGATATTCAGCCAAGTTCCCAAGTGTCTTCTTTTTAAACCTCAGCAGAAAAAAACTTCTTCCTATCATGATCTTCTCCAGATGAGATTGTGCTCTAGTCCTATACGTACGTACTCAGTGTTCATTTTGGGATTTAAAAATTCTTCCCATTTGATTGGATTCGTCCATTTTCATGGACCATCTTGTTTGTGCATTTCTCATGACTGAAAGGTAATCTACATGCTAAGATACAGTGAGTAAGAGTTTCCAACTGTGATGAGAAACCGAGAGAGAGAGAGGATTGTAACAACACTTAACAACATAGATTCTGTAAAATTTCTGTTCTCTTTGATCTCTGTATGCCTGTTTCTTCATCTATTAAATGGTCTTAGTAGGTCCCTGCCTTCTAAAGGATCAAGTAAGGTAGCCCATGTAAGTTACACACATAAGAGAACGTCACACATAGTAACAGTTTAACAAACGCTGACAGGCATTTGACTGCTGTGGTTGTGTTATTGTTGTTAATGCCATGTCCATTGAGACTGGTTCCCAATCACTTTCAGTGTAGCGATCCCCGTTTCCTTTTTTTTTTTAAATCTCATAAACCTCAGATTAAAAGTTACTCTACAAAGTCTTTATTGTTTTAAATAAAAACTAGCCCACATTCCCATGCTTAACTCCCAAGAAGCTATGCTCTCATTCCCACATAGCTTTTCAGAGCTCTCCAATTCAAGTTTCTTGGGCCACCTGTTTTGGGAAGCAGTGATGTAGAGTGTTTTTGTTGTTTATCTGAGTGGGCCACCTTCGGATCATTTAGATGCTGATTCCTCAGATGAATGAAGAAATGCAAAGTATCTTCCATGTGTCAGTAAGTGTAATACATGCTTTCTCTCTCCTTTTTAAAGCAAAGTGGTGAAGTTGGATAAGCTTCCAGTTCACGTTTATGAAGTTGATGAGGAAGTCGACAAAGATGAGGTAGAGTGATTGTTTGCTGTTGTTTAATCTGTTCACCTTGGATTTTCTTGACAAAATGGTAACCTTTAGCTGAAACAGGAGCTGGGATATTTCTTGAAATGGGAAGAATTTTGAAAAACATGTTGTTTGATTGAAATAAGATCTCTGTTTCAACTTGACTACTTAGCATCTCATGTTTTTTGGGGCCTGTTTATTTGTTCTAAGAACATTTTCAAAGACTTGGATCAGATCTGACTACATTGTTAAAATATATCAAGATTACTTCGACCATAAATTGAGGTTGCTTCTGTTTTTGTTTTTTCCAACAGGATACCTTGACACAGACAGACAGTAAAATTTCAATGGTTATTTTTTCCGTAGTTGCTTTGAGTAAGATCTGCAGTGCCCAGGAACTTTGGTTATAATAAGCCCATTCCTTCTAGCTCAAACCTATTGATAAGTAAATTCCAACTGACAGAGTAGAAATGTCCCACAGGGTTTGAAGGCTTTTGCTCATTGTAGAAGCACACTGCTTGTTCCATCTTTCTCCCATGGAGTAGCTCTGGGTTCAAACTGCCGACCTTTGGGTTAGCAGTCAAGTGCTCCACCACTGTGCCACCAGGGCTCCTGTTACTGGTCATAGGATTATGGCCAGAGAAGCTCTAGATGGAGCGTCAAGGTGAGCATGCCCATTGAGAAGGGGAATCTAATAAAGAGTCAGTGCTCCCCATTGGTGCATTTCTCATTCTCTTTCTCAGTATTGAATACCCCACCTGCCATATTCTTTTTCACTGTTGGCTGAGCCGTAGCACCAGATACTCCTGAACTTTAACAGTGTCTTTGGTAGCAAATTAGCTTAGATAAAATAATTCAGAGAAGATTAAGTGATCTTCAAAATGAATGAACCTGGTGACAGTCATTAGTAACAGAAAGACCAATGGAAAGAATGCAGCTAAAGGTACACAATAGACTTAGAATCCTAGAGAGGCGCGGTATTTCTACTTTTGCCAATAGTGACAGTAACAATACCACTAGAGCTACCAGTATTGATACTGTTGTTGTTAAAGTGCCATCGAGTCGATTCCGACCCAGAGCGACCCTGTATAGGGTTTCCGAGGAGTAGCTGGTGAGTTTGAACCACCAATCTTGTAGTTCAAACAGCTTTGCAGTCTGGTGCATTAACCCGCAGCGCCACACCAGAACTGATATTGAGGAAGATGCAAAACAAAGCCTAGGATGGGCCTTGCTGAAATTGTCTGATTCCACAAAGAATGATGATTAGAGGCCAGTCTTAGGAGGTCTGAGCTCTGTCACCTAATATTGTAGCTCATTCTTCCATTGGCATCTGTTGAACCGGGTACAACCTGAAAGGGGGCAAAGAAGTCTCTGGAAATGATGGTAACATGTGTATGGAAGATGTCGAATTAAGGTATAGTGGATATGACAAGACGATTTGTGTGTGTATACATTTCACCTGGCTTTGGGTTTATTTGATACACAAACGTATGCCTAGCATAGTTGTAGTTGCAACCCCTTCAAGTCTAGCTCTTACACCTTACGGTCAGAATGTGAAGGAAACATGTCTCTTCTCTCACCTTTTTTAGCCTTCACTTTCCCTTCTTTCCTCTATCTTTGTTTGCAGTCTTGTCTGTCTTCTCCCACTTTGCCACATCGTTTTATCTCTACTTTCTGTATTTCCTTCCTTTCTTTATTCACCTTTCCCTGAACTCCCATTTGGGAAGCTTTCCAGGAATTGTGCTTTTGTCCTCCAGCTCTAGGGCTAGAGTGTAATTTGAAAACATTTTTCTGAAACTAGTCGAGACCTTACAATTTGAGTGATCCAGTACGGTGTGTGCTTTCTGTAGGTCATTAAACATTTGCACATTTGGACTGTAGCTGACTTTGCCTTTCTCTGGAGGAGGGTTTCACAAAGGAGACTGGCTCTTCTGTTGTACTTCTAGATGGATGTTTAAGTGACTCATAGCTATCGGGGGTTCCACAAGTCAAAGGACAAAATCGAACTGCTTGTTTCATTGATGAAGCTCAGCATATAGCAGAAGGTTATGAGATTTAAGGTGGGGGTGTTGTCCTTCTCTCCTAGGATGCTGCCTCCCTGGGTTCTCAGAAAGGTGGGATCACCAAGCACGGTTGGCTGTACAAAGGCAACATGAACAGCGCAATCAGCGTCACCATGAGGGTAAGGAAACACCTGAGTGTGAAACCATTTTGGCTGCAGGCCAAATTGAGACCAATGTTCATGACGAATGGGTGTGCTCTTAACCATGACATTGCCTGGTTAGTAAGTGTCCCCTGGTCACAGCACCGCCATGGGTACAGACCCTTCCACTCCCTCCTCATTACTATCTTACCTCCAGCACAGAGACACTGTCATCTGACTGATGTGAACACGCAGTCACTGCCTCAGGCTTTACTCTTTACAAGAACAATACTGACTGCCTCACAAAACATCACCCAGAGACAAAAACTAAGAATTTTTGAGAATTGAGGAAAATGAGTTAAAGTTCAAGAAGGTTGCAAAGAAAAGAGTAAAAACAAACCAAAAAAAGAGAGAGTAGTGGAAAAGTTACTCAGCAGAGAAGTAAGACCAGAGTAAGGCCAGTATTAATAAGGAGAAGAAACGCAATGAAAGGGAGATGAAAATTCCATCAGTGGAAACACTGACCGGCATGATACTCCGGTTGGAAAAGCATTCAGTGACACGAGGCAGAAAATCATTTCTCTTCTGTGTGAGCAAGAAACCCTGGGGAGTTTTAAAAGTTTCCATCCTCTGTGCTGCATCCCAAATTGGATGGTTATGTAAAATCTCATTATAAAAAATGACCCACGGACATGAAGTAAGTCACCTTCTCAGAACCACACTGTAATACACTGAGTGGCTGGAGTTGATGAAGAGTTGCTGCAGCCAGTGACCTGGAGGTTTTTCCAGAGTGAGACTTGCTTTGGAGAGAATGGAAATTGGTTTCATATATGTGGCTAGTTGTGTATGTTCATTAGGGATTGTGATTCTTTCCACTTTGAAAGAATGACTGCTTGTGTATTTTTTTCTCTCAGTCATTTAAAAGACGGTTTTTCCACCTGATTCAACTTGGTGATGGATCCTATAACTTGAATTTTTATAAAGATGAAAAGATCTCCAAGGAACCAAAAGGTTCGATATTTCTGGATTCCTGCATGGGCGTTGTTCAGGTAAATATGCTAACGGCTATGTGATGGTCAAGTGTTCTTTTCTATAAAAGAACCACGTAAGAATATACAGATTTAAACAAACACTTCCAAAAATGTGACTGTTTGTGGGATGAATGCTGTATCTAACTTGAAAATGAGCAAAGCCTTGCGTTCATCAGCTGAGAAGATGGCAGACGTCATTACATTGTGGTCAGCCTGAATTCTTGTGCCGAAACCTAGCTCTGCCCCGTTTGGGTTGTGTGACCTTGGATAGACTCCTTTCACATCTTCCTCTGCAAAATGGGGACAGTCATAATATTTCCTTCACAGGGAACTTGGGAGGATTGAATGCGTTAATGCAGGAGATTTCGAGCAGCACTTAGCATCTGATAAGCACTTATCAATAAGAAGTGACAACTTTCATGACTGCCACGAGATAAGGTGTTCCAGTGACAGTGTGTGTAGCGGTTCAAAGTCAGCACCAAACTGTCCGAGTTAAAATCCCTGCTCTGCTGTTTAACAAACAAAAACCTAAACCCAGTGCTGTTGGGTTGATTCCAACTTACATGTACTCCTGTCTAGGGTTTCTGAGACTGTGAGTCTTCCTGGGAGCAGACAGCCTCATCGTACTCCAGTGGGGCAGCTGGTTAGTTTGAACTGCAAACCAGTGCTTACCCCACAGTACCACCAGCACTTCTTACACTGGTGAGATCTTAGAGATGTTATTTAACCTCTCTATGCCTCCCTTTCTTCATCTGCTGGACCAGGATAATGCGAGGACCGAATATGGTTTTTGTTGTTGTTGTTAAGTGCTGTTGACTTGGTTCTGACTCCTAGCGATCCTCTATAGGGTTTCCGAGGAGCAGCTGGTGGATTTGAACGTCCAGCCTTCCAGTTAGCAGTCCTGTGCTGATCCTACAGAGTCACAGAGGATCAAAATTGTAGTATAAGTGCTTCAAACCGTGCTGAAACCTGGTACCATTTGGTCAATATTAGAAATTTGTATTAATGTTGTAGAGTTATTCTTAAATTTTATTTTTATTATAAACCTAAGTGGTACTTATGGACTAATGCACTGGACTGCACAGTCAGTTTGTCTGCAAGGTCGGCGATTCAAGCTCACTAGCCACTCCTCAGAAACCCTATAAAAGGTTTATATATATATAATGTGTGTGTGTATATATATATATATATATATATATATACACACACACACACACACACGTTTTATATATATGTTGTTGTAGTTAATTGCCGTCGAGTCGATTCCAACCCACAGCGACCCTGTATAGGGTTTCCAAGGAGCAGCTGGTGAGCTTGAACCACCAGCCTTGCAGTTCAAATGGCTTTGCAGTCTGACGCATTAACTCACAGTGCCATATACGATTTTTATATGTATGTATATATATAATGAGGCGGAACTGACTCATCGACACTTAACAACAACAACAATATTGGAGTATATCCTTTTGTGAAAAAAAAAAATGAGATAAAGTGAAAGTCCCTCTTGATCCATTCCTCCCTTCTGATCCCCTGCATCTCTTCCTTTCTCAGAGAGCTGTTGCTATCCAGTCTGATATGTGTCTTTCCATAGCTTTTAGAATGTATGTTCCTTCATTCATTCTCTCAATCCCCATTTGCTCCCCTGCCATCTTCCAGGAAGACTGAAGACAGTGACTGACAGGGATCTATACAACCTCATAGCTTGTGGTTGTTCATTGCCATTGAGTTTGTTCTGATTCTTGACACCCTCACAAGCGCAGAATAGAACTGACCCATGGGGGTTTCAAGGCTGTGACCTTTAGGAATAAGATATCCAGGCCTTTCTTTCAAGTAGCCTCTGGGTGTGTTTGAACTGCTAACCTGTGAGCTCACTGTTGAACGCTTAACCATTAGTACCATACAGAGAGTCTGAAAAAGCAAAGCAGATTTTATGATCTATCTTTATGTACAGACACATTTCATTGCATTTTGCAGGTACTGTATATATATATATATATATATATATTTTTTTTTTTTCAAATTGAAGGTTTGTGGCATCCCTGAGTCAAGCTAAGTGCATTAATGCTATTTTTCCAACAAAATGTCCTGTGTCGAATTTTAGTAATTCACACAGCATTTCACTTTTCCATAAAGTTATTGCATACTTAATAGACTTCAATATAGCTATGTAAATGTAGTTTTGATATTCACTGGGAAACCACAAACTGCATGACTCACTTTATGGTGATACTTGCTTTACTGCGGTGGTCTGGAACCAAACTCACAATCTCTCCAAGGCATGCCTGAATAGTGTATACAAAGCATGGCATGCGTCCTTATGCTATAAAATGGCATAAACTTAAACTGGGAGTAAAAGAAGAATAGGGTGCTGAGAGATGTGGAAATTAACGTGGAATTGAGTTCCAACAAACAACTCCACATGCTTTAAAGGCCTAACACACGGCATGTTGTTGTTGTTAAGCGCTGTCGAGTCGATTCCGACCCATAGCGATCCTGTGTAAGATTTCCAAGGAGCAGCTGGTGAGCTTGAACCACAAACCTTGCAGTTCAAATGGCTTTGCAATCTGACACATTAGCCCATAGCGCCACACCAGGACTCCAACACATGGCGTGGGTAGCCCACAAACGGGCTCTATGTGGCTTTGCTTGTTCAGCCTCACAGTTCACAGTACACAGATTAGAAACAATCCAATTAGTCAGAAGCAGACCAAGTAATTTGGAACGAAGATCGTCCCGGCCTTTGTCTTAGGGGCCCTCATAAAGAAGACACTGTCTGGTCAATGAACAGTCTCCTTAACAACTCCCCCACAAACGATGCAGTCATCATTATCACTGAATTTTCACTGAAAAGAACTCAGTGTTGGCTAGTTGACATTAGCCTGAAACTCAGCACTTCTCATCAGAAAGGTGGTTTGTGGGAGCATCCTGACTTAACTAAAGTTAGGGATACAGCTCTCTGGTTTGACCTCATTTTTGTCTACTCATTTTCTGTATTTTTTATGTTTACCTAAAATTTCACTATCTGTTCATCACAGTCAAACAGTGCTAAAAGGTAGTACTAATAGCACATTTTTGCCTGCCTCACACCCCCTATCTCAGCCACACCCCACCCCATTGAGGCAACCATTAGCCCTTTTAAACCAGTTCTTCTGTTATTTGCCTCCATTGTTGTTGTTAGGTGCCATCAAGTCAGTTTTGACTCATATTGACCCTATGCACAACTGAAAGAAACACTGCCCCGTGCTGCACCAAACCTCACAATCGTTGCTACGCCTGAATCCTCACTGCCACCACTTTGCCAATCCACCTCATTGGGCATCTTCCTCTTTTCCTCTAGCCCTCCACTTTACCAAACATGGTATCCTTTTCTCATGACTGATAACATGTCTGAAGTATGAGAGATGAAGTCTGGCCATCCTGGCTTCCAAGCAACACTCTGGCTTCACTTCTTCCAACACATATCTATTTGTTCTTTAGATAGTCCATGGTACTTTCAATATTCTCCAACACCGTAACTCAATTGCATCAATTCTTCTACGGTTTACCTTAGTTACTGCCCAACTTTTGCATGCAGATGTTGTTGTTAAGTGCTGTCTATTCGATTCCGACCTCTAGCGACCCTGTATAGGGTTTCCAAGGAGCAGCTGGTGAACCACCGACCTTGTGGTTCAAACAACTTTCTGTCTGACGCATTAGCCCACAGCGCCACACCAGGACTATGATTATTGAAGTAATACCATGGCTTGAATTCTCTGCTATAACTTTATCCATTCATTCTGGACATTATTTGATGACTTCCCGTGATGATGCCTAAGGATTTTAGCTTTGTCTCCTTGCTTCCTGCTCCAGTCTGGAGGGATTGTTTTCTCAGACTCTACAGCCGTTGTCCTGGAAACTCCCTCCCTGTGTGGAATTCCCTGTTTCCAGGATCCTGGGTCTTTCTCTGCCTTGGTTTACTTCCTTATTTTGGAGGAGCACATCCTCCAATAGTTTCCCTGAAAAATTATACATAAAGTGGTACTTCTTTGAAACTTAGCATATCTGCTAAACATCTGTGTTTTTGTTCTCAAACTTGATTGACAATTTGACAGGGTGTTGAAATCCACGGTGAAATCATCTTCCCTTAGAATTTTGAAGACACTCCCTTAACTTTTTAGGTTCTAGTTTTGTTTTGAGGAACCTTGTACCGTTTTTGTTTCCTGGTCTTTGCCATCTATTTTCTCTCTGGAAACTTTTAGAATCTTTTCTGTCTCTGTTGTTGTTGTTGCTGTTAAGTGTTGTAGAGTCAGATCCAACTTACAGTGACCCTATACAGGGTTTCCGAGGAGCAGCTGGTGGGTTTGAACTGCCAACCTTGTGGTCTGAAGTCCAGGGCTGATTCTACCGTGCCACACCACGAGTCTTCTGTATAAGGTTTCTGAGGCTGTAAATCTTTGCAGGAGCAGAAAGCTTCACCTTTCTCTTGCTGAGTGGTGCGTAGGCTCTACCCTCTGAAACTGCCAACCTAAGGGTCCAGAACTTACTCTGTGGAGCCAGCACACTTTGAGTTTTCAAGTAGGGAATAATTGCTTTAGTGATATAGAAGAGTTTTGTTACATGCAAGTTTTTGGCATAGTCATAGATGTTTCATGCTTATAGCAGTAGTTTGTAGAGTTGTCATTTAATCTCTGGGTTACATTTCAAAATGTTAGGCTTGACTTCAGTGGAAGGCTTTTCCTTCAAATTCTTTTTGTAAGATGTGACTGGTTGTGGCTTACATTTATTAGCATAGTGATTACTAGTTGGGCTGCTAACCTTGAGGTGGGCAATTCGAAACTACCAGTGGTTCCATGGGAGAAAGATGAGCTTCCTGCTCTGTAGATTACAAGATTACACCCTTGGAAACCCTATGCGGGGTCGCTATGGGTCAGAACTGACTCCACGGCAGAAAACCACCTCCACCAAGGCTTTCAAAGGTTGGAATGATTAGAAAGTTCCAGCTAAGTAAATTAAACATATTGATAGATAATGATTTACTTTTAAAAACGTAATTTCATACTCTGTTTCACTGAGTTAGGGGAATATGATCATTTTAAATGCAATTTTGTCATTCAACTTTTTTTTTTTTAATCATTTGACTATCATGTGCCAGATACTGGTTTAGAGATAAAGGCTATTAAGCAAAAGAAGGAGGTTGATAGATATAGTTATAATAATGACCTCCCCTTGTCATCATCCCCCCCACATCCCCACCAAATGTAGCTACTGAGGTCGCTTTTGTATAACCAAAAACCTCTCGGGATTTGGCTCCTGTGTTAATGCTTCTGTTCTGCCTCATAGTTCATTGTGTAGTTCTTGGGGGTCTAGAAAGCTTGCAAGCAGCTCAAGGTGTAACAGAGAAAGGAGGAGGAGAGTCAGGAATGGGAGGAGAAGTGAAATGTATGGCTCATTTCCTCCATCAACAATGCCTCCTTTGCCATTAGGCCAGGTACTTATATGATGCCTGGCTACCATCACTGAACATTTGGATCAAAGATTCCATAGGAAAATTCTGATCAAAAGGGGGGAAATGCTGAAAAGAATGTAAAATTGTTATGGACGCTAGACTTTCTGGCGCCATGAAGGCTTGATGTATCCTTGAAACTGTTGCCCTGAGATCATCTTTAAACCTTAAATAAATAAAAAAGTACCTCCTGAATTCTTTTTAAAACCATAGTTTAGCTTAACAAGTAAAAATATCTGCCTTGAGTATTATGCTCAGTTAAGAACTCTCTATGTGAAATCAATTTGACAGCAGTAACTGGAAAAATTAGATGGGAACCTTGAAGAGGCAGTGAGTTCATGTTAGTGAGGGCTACGCAGCTCAGAGAAGGTGAGAAAATGGCAATCCATATCACTACATTGTGGCTGTAGACGCTGTTGAACTGGTATATGTTTTGCTATGTGTTCAAGTCCTGGTTTGGCGCTGCAGGATAATGCACTGGACTGCAAGTTTGGTTTGAATTTCAAGATCAGCGGTTCAAATCCACCAGCTGCTCCTCAGAAACCCTATACAGGGTTGCTGTGAGTCAGAACTAACTTGACAGCACTTAGCAACCACAACAGCAACATATTAACAACAATGAAGATAAAATGTAAAGGGAAAAATGGTTGAACAGACAAATGAAGGGGAAAAGTCTCTTTCCTAGGGAGTTTACATTCCACTGGGAGGGATATTAACGAAATAAATAAATATGTAAAATATGTGATGTGTCAGATTGAAAAATAAAGCTTTGTAGAAAATAAAGCAAGAGATGCATAGTGACTGGGGACATTTTAAGGGAGGGAGCTTGCAGTTTTAAATACCAAACCCATTACTGTCTGGTTTATTACAGCTCACAGTGTGACGCTACAGGACAGAGTTGAACTACTCTCTTAGGGTTTCCAGGCTGTCAGTGGGTACTGGAGCAGACTTCTACCTCAGTATCCCTGGGGGGCGAAGGGAGAGGGAGGGAGAGTATGTGTGTGAGGGGGAAGGGTTTGAACAACTAACTTACCAGTTCCAAGCTGAGTGCTTAGCCACTTCGCCACCCGGACTCCTCCTCCTTGCAGTTGTAAAACAGGAGGTCCAAAATGCAGGTGAGCTAATATCCATCAGCAAATCATAGTGATAATTTAAGGTGGTTCCAGTTCTTTAACAGTGCGTCTCTGTACCATTTTTACATTTCAGAACAACAAAGTCAGGCGCTTTGCTTTTGAACTTAAGATGCAAGACAAAAGTAGTTATCTGTTGGCAGCAGACAGCGAAATGGAAATGGAAGAATGGATCACAACTTTAAACAAGATTCTTCAGCTCAACTTTGAAGCTGCAATGCAAGAAAAGCGAAATGGAGACTCTCATGAAGGTCGGTAATTCTAGCATCCCTTAGGCACACACATGCTCCGAGGCTGTCTTTATGTTTACTAGACCCTGCCATCAATAAGTTCCAACTCACAGAGACCCTGCATGGGGTTTCTGAGGCTGTAAATCTTAATGGCAGCCGAAAGCCTCATCTTTCTCCTGTGGAGTTTGAACAGCCAACTTAGTGGTTAGCAGTCCAGTGCTTATCCTGCAACATCATTAGTCTTCCTTAGGTGGGTTTAAAAAGGATATCTATACACATGGATGCATACATACAATGCACATGTGTGTATATATGTGTGTATACCACATGTGCATGAGAGATGGAGCACATGTGAGCTGTTTACAAATACTTTCTCAGCAGAAGTGACCTTTGTCACAGTGGAATTTATGACCCTGATGTCATTTTTACAAGCAAATACTGTAAATACTGTAAAGAAGACAGGATACTCGTATATAAAGGGAAAACCACAGCTTTAGGGCAGAAAGTAAGACCTGGGTTCAAGTTACATTTTTTAACTTTCTAAAAACTTTTTAAAAAATGACTTATGCTTTCTGAGCCACAGTTTACTCATCTGCAAAATGGGAAGGAAATAAAACTAGTGGTCAAATGGGAAATTTAAGTAAGATTAATGCGCTGGACTGCAAGTTCGGTTTGAACCGCAATGTTGGCAGTTCAAGTTCACCAGCCACTTCTCAGAAACCCTATACAGGATTTCTGTAACACAGAACCGACTCGACAGCACTTAACAATAATACCTAGTGACTCAGATAATTTGTTTTGCTATTTTAGATGACGAACAGAGCAAATTGGAAGGTTCTGGTTCCGGTTTAGACAGCTACCTGCCTGAACTTGCCAAGGTAATATCATCTTGAATGGTCTGCTCTTCTCAGAATTATATTGAAATTGTTCTCATATCATGAATGTTTCCAGAATGGAATCTGTTGAAATCATTGAAAATTACTGTGCAACCTCTGAGAGCCAGACGGTGACACGGCTGCCTTTTGTTTCTGGATCCAGCAAGTTCCCGAGGACCTTTCACATCATTCAGTGTGACTGCTTTTCTAAGGCGCTCTCTTAGTGGAAAACATTGTGTTTTCCGTCTCTTACAGGTTTCCGCCTTACAGATGTTCCAGCTTTCACAGGTTTAACTATATACATGGTTACAAATCATTAACAGTCACACTGAGAGTTTTTCTGTTTTCTGACCTGAATGTGAGATGAAATATATTACTGAGTTACTCCTGTTTCATTATGTTTTCCAGAAAGTACACAACATATTATCTCTATTTTTAAAAATTCCTTGTATTTTTTTCTCTATACTATTTAATTATGCTCATGAGGAATCTGTACCTGGACCAAGAGGCAGTTGTTTGAACAGAACATGGAACATTGAATGGTTGAATATTAAGAAAGGTGTGGTGTGCAACAGGGTTGTAGTCTTTCACCATACTTATTCACAAGGAGCTCTGGTAGCGTAGTGGTTACGAATTGGGCTGCGAACCGCAAGGTCAGCAGTTCAAAACTACCAGCTGCTCTGTGGGAGAAAGATAAGGCTTTCTGTTCCCATAAAGATTTACAGCCTCAGAAACCCTGTTCAGGGTCGCTATGGATCAGAACCGACGCGACGGCACTTAACAAAAACAACAACAATTCAACCTATATGCTGAGCAAACAATCCAAGAAGCTGGGTTCTATGAAGAAAAATGTGGCATCAGGATTGGCAGAAGACTCATTAACAGCCTGCGATATGCAGATGATGCAACCTTGCTTGCTGAAAGTGAAGAAGACATAAAATATTTACTGATGAAGATCAAAGAGCACAGCCTTTGGTATGGATTACATCTCAATGTAAAGAAAACAAAAATCTTCACCATTGGACCAATAAACAACATTCTTATCAATGGAGAAAAGATTGAAGTTGTCAAGGACTTCATTCTTCTTGGATCAACTATCAACACTCATGGAAGCAGCAGTCAAGAAATCAGATGATGTATTGCATTAGGCAAACCTACTGCACAAAACCTCAACCACAGCTGTCAGCTTGAGGACTGAGGTGCACCTGACCCAAGCCATGGTGTTTTCAATAACCTCATATGCATGCAAAAGCTGGACAGTGCATAAGGAAGACCATAGAAGAACTGACGCTTTTGAGTTATGGTGTTAGAGGAGAATATTGAAAGTGCCATGGGCTGCCAAAAAAACCAACAGCTCTGTGTTGGAAGAAATGCAGCCAGAGCACTCCCTGGAGGCCAGGATGGCCAAATTTCATCTCTCATACTTCGGACATGTTGTCAGGAGGGACCAGTCACTGGATAAGGATATCATGTTTGGTAAGGTGGAGGGTCAGAGAAAAAGAGGAAGACCTCCAGCAAGATGGATTGGCACAGTGACAGCATCAATGGGCTCAAGTGTGGCAACAATTAAGAAGTAGGCCCAGGATCGAGCAGTGTTTTGTTCTGTTGTGTATAGGGTCGCTATGAGTTGGTAGTGACTCTGTAGCACCTAACAACAACAACATTTAATGCTGCTCCATCAGTTTTGAAGAAATAACCAAAATCCACAGATAAAATGTTTCCGTAGTAACATGGTTCTTAAAATGTTTGTTTATATGGTCCTGCTTATTCTAGTTAATGGGTAAAATGCCAAAGATCTGTAATAATCTTATCATTAAACCAAAGAGGGATTGCCAAATTTATGTCAAACAGTACTGACCAAGCTTCTTGAATCTTGTTTCCAGGGTCATTCTTGAGTGTGTGTGTTGGGGGGAGGGGTCGATGGGGTATTTTTTATAATTTGGGGAAACTGAAATGCACAAAGAAAAACAATTTCCACATTTCACCAACCGAGTCAACATCTTTTATTATATTGCTATTTTAGCTTTCTTTAAAAAAAAAAAGAGTTATACTTGAAATTCATTTTCAGCATCGTTTCCATTCGCATTCTTTTCCTCCCTTGCACTCCCAGCCAGACACAACCACTATTAGGAGTTTTCTGGGCTTACCTCCATTTTACTTTCACTTCTTTACAAATATGTGCTTTTCTAGGATAGCAAGATCTATACATGTGGTGTTTTGCATGTTTTAGTAATGTTGTATAAAATGCTAGCATAATGTGTACATGTATTCTACAGTTGTGTTTAGTTTTTAGTTCATCCTTCCTATTGAGACCCACCCAAGTTTCTATAAAGATCTAGATCATGTCTTTTATTGTATTGTATAAACATTTTATTGTGATTTCCATTACAGCGTTACAGTAACTGTCTTGTCCTTGTGTGCATCTATGAGTGAGTCTTTTTGAAATGAGAGAAATAGCTTTGTCTTCTGTATTCCTTTATGTTCCTGCTCTGCTACTGTCTTTCTATTCTTTTACTGAGACAACTGTGAGCTAGAGACCCTAAACACACCCAGATCTTAAAACACTATAATAGAAACATGGTTTATCCCTACACAATTATAAACAGAGTAGCATTCAGCATTGACCGTTGTTTTTATGACAACATGGCTATTTTAAATATAAAATCCTCCTCCCTGGCTGGGAATTTAGAGCATTGTATTTCCTTAGGATTTGATGGCTACCGCAGTGTCTTTTTAGCACCTGCCTATTAAAGCTAAATTTGGTGCCACCATTGTAACCTCTTCGTAGGCTGTGTGTCTGTGTTTTCAGTGGTATGAACGAACATCTGTCTGTCTTTGCTTTTGGCAGGGAGATTTGCTTTTTTTTTGTTTTTAGATAGTTGAGGGTTCACAATTTCTCAAAGTCAAATATTTGAACCTCTTTTGGTTTTAGTTTGTGAAAGTGTGTAATCTATGTGATTCCATCTAGAATTTAGAAGTTAACTTTCTGCACTTAGTGAATAGAGTAGCCTTCTAAGATAAGACATGAATTTGTTAAACCAAATATTGGTGATTTAGAAATCTCTGTTTTCTATGAAGACGGACAGGATTGTGATCACTCAGCTCTTTTCTCACTGCTTGTCACTGTTTGCCAACATAAGTCAGAGTTCCTGGACTCTAAGACCCAGGGAGACTTTAAAAATGAGTGCCTATTGTTAGTAAGTGCCGTCAAGTCGGTTCTGACTCACAGAGTTTCTGAGGAACAACTGGTGGGTTTGAACCACTGACCTTGTGGTTAGCAATCCAGTGCATATCCTATAACCCCACTCAGGTTTCGCCTATATAACTTATATTTGGAGCTGTTTTCAAACCTGTGGGTTACAACCAAGGTTGTTGTTATGTGCCGTGGAGTCGGTTCCAAGTCATAGTGACCCTGTATAGGGTTTCCTGTACAGGTTTTTGAGGCTGTAAATCTTTACGGGAGCAGAAAGCCTCGTCTTTCTCCTTTGGAACAGCTGGTAGTTTTGAACTGCTGACCCTGAGGTTAGCAGCCCGATTCATAACCAGTACGCTACCAGAGCTGAAGTCATTTTAGTTAGATAAATCAATTTTGTTGGTTTCAGCTCCCATTTCTTAACCTTCTCTGGTTTTAATTTTTTCTTCTTTTTTTTTTATTGGCATATAACTTACATAGAGTAAAATATTCAAGCCTTAATTGTGTGATTTGATGGGCTTAATATCTTTCACCCACATAACCACCACCCAGGACAAAATAGTATAAGATTTTCAACAAAATCTGTTTGCCCTGGCCCAGTGGATAACCTCCATTATTTTGACTTCCGCCACACAGAGTCCTGGTGTGGTGCAGTGGGTTATGCACCAGACTGCAAAGCCATTTGAACTGTAAGGTCAGTGGTTCAAGCTCACCAGTCACTCCTTGGAAACCCTATACAGGGTCGCTATAGGTCGGAACCAACTTGACGGCACTTAACAACAGCAACAACAACCATGGCTTATTTCTGACTGTTCTTGTGTTGTTGGGCACTGTGAGTTGCCTCTGACTCAAAGGGACCTTATTTTCAACAGAACACAACACTGCCGAGTCATGGTCCATGCTCACAAACACTACGTTAGTCCATATCATTGGCAGTCTTCCTCTTTTTTGCTCCCCCTCTGCTTTACCATGGATGGTGTCCAGAGTGCATGCATGAGAAGAAGTCTTACCTCCCTCACTTCTGAGAAGCATCCTGGCTCTCCTTCTCCCAAGACAGATTTGTTTGTTCTTCTAACATCAACTTGAACTTGTATCTGAGCAATTGATGATCTGTTCCACAATCAACCCCTGACCTTGTTCTGACTGATGACATTGAGCTTCTCCATTGTCTCTTTCCATTTCCGCAGGTTTAGTTAATTAGATTCCTGTGCATTCCACCCAGTGAGGCTTGTGCATATAATTGTCATTTATGTTATTAACAAAAGATACTTCCAATGATATGTCTTTGGTCTATCACCAAGACCATACTTTCTAATTACTAATCCTTTTTGTTTCCTATCACTGGTAATTATCAATGCATCTTACTGGATATTCATCAATTTCAGGTTGCAGAAGTTGGTAAAAAAAAAAAAAAAATCTTCAGTTTCTTCATCTTTGGCAATATTGGTTGGTGCATTAATTTTTTAAGGATATATATTTTTTTTATTTAATAAGGACTACAGTTTAATTTCCCTCATCCTCACCAACATTTGGTATTGTCTGGTTGTTTTGTTCACTTTATCTGTCTGTCTGCTGCCTATCCATCAGAACATGTGCTCCCTGTATCTTTTTATGAGCGGGGAGGGTGTACATTACTAAGTTTCAATTTACTTTAAAAATTTTTCCTTCTGAATTTCTTTTTCAATGTTTTTATTGTGGATTGAGTGAAAGTTTACAGGGCAGATCATCAGTTTTACATTCAACAAATCATAACACCTTGTTTTATTACAATGATTATAATCCCCTCCATGTACCATCAGTATTTCTCTCT